GAAGAAAGGAGGGCAAGGGCAAGGGCAAGATGGATGGAATGAAACTAAGGAAGGAAGAAAGGTAAAAGAAAGAAGGCAGGCAGGAGAGAAGGAATTAAGGAAGGAAAGCAGGCAGGCAGGTAGTGAGGAATGCAGGCAGGAAGATGAGAAGGAAGGAAGGAGAGCAGTTCAGGCAGGTAGAGAGGAAGGCAGGTAGAGAGGAAGGCAAGAAGGATCAAGGAAGGAGGTATTGAGGAAAGTAGTGAGAGAAGAAGGAAGATAGTAATTAAGGAAAGAAGTCAGGAAGGCAGGGAAGTGGGCAAGGCAGAATAGAGAAAAGCAGAAAGTCAAGAAGGCAGGAGGGCAGGAAAAAGGGAATTCAAGTATATAAGTAAGTAAGTACGTAAAATGAGGACAGAGGGCAATAAAGAAAGGAGGAAGTAGGAAGGAAAGTAGAAATAAAGGAAGGAAGGAATAAAGGAAGGATAGAAGGAAAAAAGAAAGGAAGAAGGAAGAAAGGAAGTCCAGTGAGGATGGAGGGAAATAAGGAAGGGAGGACAGCGAAGGAAAGAAGGAGGGAAGGAGATGGGAAGGGAGGAGGGAAGGATAGAATGTAAAAGAAGGAAGGAAAGTGGGCAGGTAGCACATCTGTACATATTGTACCTATCTTTGCAAGTTATGTGCAAACTTATTTGACTATAAATAAATTACATTTACAGGTTGTCATCTCTAGGGAAATGGATGCTCACCGGAAGTAATGGAGGTAGAAGGAGTAGTAGGTAGGGAATAAAAGGGAACTTGGTAATCATGCTGCATAATCTTATCTGCCAACAAAATCAACCGGCTTTACCCAGGTGGACAGGCCTCCTTACTTAGCCCGGAAAAGGAATGTGTAATCAACAAATAGCCAAATGCCTCATCATCCAATTAGTGAAGTGCATGAATGGATGAATGATATTCCCACTGTCCCTACCTACTATCCAGAGAAACCACAGCCAAGAGAACAGGCTTGGTGGAATCAGCAGGGAAAGAAGACCCTGTTGAGCATGACTCTAGTTGGGTGCTGTGAAGAGACATCAGAGGTGTAGAATAAATGGGAAGCCCCGCAGCTGTGCAACTCAGGCCATGGTCCAGTTGCCAGTGAAATACTACTTACCATTTTTTCCACTTACCCAGTGAGGTGTGTGGGAAGGCGAGCCCCAAAGGGCTCTCACTGCTGATGCCAAGTGCCTGGCACTACCTGCTCTAAGGACAGCGTCGGGTGGGGAGTTTGACTGGGGCAGTACACCTGTCAAACCGTAACACAGGTGTCCTAAGGTGAGGACAGAAACCTCCCATGGAGCAGAAGATCAAAGCTTGATCTTGATTTTCAGTACAAATATCATCCACGAAAGCAGGGCCTCTCAATCCTTCTGACTTTTTGGGTTTTAAGCAGGCATCCAGGAGACAGTGGATGAGGAACTCCAGGCATGACTCTCCACATGAGGAACTCGGGCATCTAGGATATTCTGCTCTGTTCCCCAACAACCTGGGGAATTCAGGCTGTTCCTGCAAGGACTGGTCACACTGGGGAAGATGAGGCTGTCTGGGCATCCCCACCACATCTCTCCCCCCAGTGGCACTGAGGAGAGGGCCCAGAGAGGTGTCACTCTCCGTTTGTGGGGCAGGGAACCCATTTGCCACCTAGGGGGAGCAGGGCTGGGACGTCCACCATGACAAACTCATGCAGGACTAGGAGTAAGGGGGTGGGGAAACTGGAAAAATCAACCTGGTCTGCCCCTGGCAGTTGTCCACCAACAACCCCACATCCCTCCCGGATTATACCCAAGGCCTGAGAAGAGCCCTCTATTTCCAAAACAATCCCACAGATCTCCAAATAACCCCTCAAGCAGTCCCACACTTGCCTCCTGCTGGGCACCAGATGTTACCACCTTCATCAACATGCAGGCATTCTGTCTTCCACCTACTCCCAGAAACACCATCCCCATCACTCTGTGTGGTCTGGTCCCCTGCCCTCTTTCCCATCCCTTCCCATACCTCTTATGGTTCCCTGAACTGTCCAGGAAGGAAAAGCCACTTCGCAGGGCAGACTGCATGGCCTGGGTGAGGATTCCAAACCCACATCAATTTCACAAATAACTCCTGGGATGAGCACATGCAGGTCACATCCTCCTCACTCGAGAATGTCCTGCTCTCACTTCACACCCATGTTCCCCACAGACAAGAAGGAGGCTTGTGTTAGAAGAAAACTTCCTTTTTTAAACAGAACTTTTTTCAACCCTTGTTCCTCAGGGTTTTCTTTTTTGCAAAGATAAAGTATTATCTGAACAATCTCTGCATATATATCTCTCTTTCTCATATATGTGTGTGTGTGTGCATACATTTATACACTTAAAAAACAGTCCTGCAAACTTGTGCCACTCATAGCAGCCCATCCTGCTTCATAGCAGAGAAGACAGCTCCAACAAAACAGCAAAAAAGCTGTCCCCCTCAACTAGAGGAATGCACTGAACCACATCCATCTGTGGCTCTGGAAAGAATCCCACCAGCTCCAGATGGGAGGCTTTGACTTGAGTGTAAACACATCGCTTTACAGTATTTCCAGACACTGGCTGGATTAGACAGTGCCATGCTAGGACACATGCCACACTCACCTGTGCCCAGTCTTTGGGGACAGCACACCCAAGGACACTGAACGGTCCTTTAATAGGTGGCAAGCAGTCCTCATTTTGTAGCTGGGCTGTGACTTTCTGACTTAATTAGATACTTATGGGGAGAAATGGAGACAACGAAGAAAGGCGAGGAGATGTCTTTCTGAGAGAGGTGGCCACAGTAACACAGCCCATCTGTCCAGAGTAATGTTTCTGCATATTAAAGGGGAGTCACTCACTGAGCAAGTAGCCCCCAGAGGAAATGTCTCTTCATTCTGCCTGAGAGCTCCTCACTGTCTTTGAGGAAAGCCACTAATACAAACTGGTTGAGACAGAGCAGAGGGAGAGTTCCAGGCTGGCAGGCTGGGTGGCAGCCCACTTCTAGTCATAGGCATCATCATCATCAAAGTAGGAGTCACAATCAAGGTTATCTGACTCATCATCGAACAGAAAGTTGTCTTCTTCAAGGTCATCATCGTCTTCATAGTCTTCCTGCCACTGTGGTTCATACTCCTCATCTTCAACCTCTTTACCACCTTCATCTGTGTTGGGGGAGTCACACAAGATGGTACGTTTTGGCCTATTGAGGAGGAGAGCATCAGAACAGAGCCCTGGCTGCGGGCAAACAACCACAACCCAGCCCCACACCACCCTCGTCCTCCCTACTACCATCACCTCAGCATCCCCATCCAAAGCCATGCCTCAGGGACGCAGCAGCCATGAAGAGAAGGTGATTAAATGGCTTTATCCATGCATGCAGCACAGGGCTGTGTCAGAGAGCCACCTGTGACCGGGCCAACAAGCTGCAGTCTGCCATCAGCTCTGGTCTCTCAACCTCATTCCAAGGAGACCAGAAACCCTGCTCTGAAACAGACTGTCTCTTGACTCAGTTGCCATTCTTTCTTGCTCAGCTGAGCTCAGCTGAGCAACACTTAGCGCCCTGTTCAGCTCCTGGAAACACAGCAGCTGTCAGAAGGGATTGGTCACACTGGGACAGCAGATGCCAGTTGTGTTTCTTGGTTTAAACAGCATGTCATACAGGAATGGACTTTGTTTCAAATTCATCACCTTCCAATCATACTTAACACCTGCCAGCTCAGTACTCTAGGGCAGGGAAACAACAAACCATCCATTTCACCTCTCAACACACTATTTTACAGCTATGTCACCTGTTCTCCATTTCCTTCTTAAAACAAATGTCAGGCCCTTCCATCTCCCCCCATGTATGTTCTTATTCTTGCTTCTCTCATCTAGACACCTCCTAGATCTCTGATACACCTCTGAAGAAAGACAGTGACTCTCCACAGAAACCCAAGAGAGTCCAAGGAGAGCACCAGGTCTGCCAGTGATGGAGCTTTCTTGACCATAGCTGCATACTAAGCAGAGATTTTGCTGGTCTCCCTACACCAATATGTCATTTACATTGTTATCTCAAATCACAACACAGGATGCAAGTAATCAGCATCTGTTATTAACTCTTTTGTATGTCAGCAAGCACAGGCAAAAACTCTGGTCACCTGCTTTTTGTCTGCACTCGCCCACCTTTCCTTGTTACCCCACTAATAAAACTCACCCTATACAGGCAGGGGCTGAAGTAGGCACATTTGAGAGTTTCACCTTTCTCTGACCAGGATCTGCCAAAGTCTGGAGCCCAACATGGAAATCCTGCTAGCACGGAAGAACAGCCAGAAGAGAGAAACAATACGCGATTTGGGGTGTATTTTGTGCTGCAAACCCCTTCCCTACATACACACAGCACTGAGAGTCTATCCCCTCAGCTGATCAAGCCCCTTTCTAGGTTTGCCCAAGATCAAACTAGACCAGAGCAAGACAAGCCATTAACGGGCATGTGGACTTCACCTGTGTGGAGTGCCAGAGAATTGCAAAGAGACGCTCCTTGATCTGGTGTACCAACTCCAAACCAGCACTGAAATGCTCTGCTTTCAGGAGCTGAAGAGAAGAGGCCAGGTCCTGGTAGCGCAGCAGGGCTTCCTCTGCAATTCAAGGCCAACAAAGTCACGCTGCTTCCCACACTCTTAAGCAGAGACTGAGTCCCTTGGCTCTGATTATGAAGCCAGTCACAGCTACTTAGGTCTCCTGTGCACATACATTCCTCTTTCAGAAGGGAACATTTTGCACCTTACTGCATCAATCTCCACCGGCAGTCAAATTGCTTCAGTGGACTTCCCAGAAATGACACCAAGAAAGCAAAAGTAGGTTGGGAGAACTGAGTGAGACCAGCTGGGTGCTGCTGCGTATACTATTGCCCCACTACAGAGCTGCCATCATTTGAACCAGGCAGCTGGCAATGCTAGTCTCTGCTTTGGAGAGGCTGTGGGACTTACCCAGAAGGATCTGCAGAGCATTAGTGTGCAGCTCTAGGCTCTCAGTCTGCTGTTCCACAATATCCATGCTCTCAGTGTCCTGGTTATAGTAGCTGTACACACAGGAGTAGGCCAGCACCTGGAGCAGTACAGATCATGCTATAAGCATTCTCCTTCAGCTTCAGAGTGGGCAAGAATAGAGTAGCATCAAACCCTTCCAGACTTCATTACGTATCAGTGGCTGAGAGAAGCCTGTCAGTGCTTCTGGTCTGTGATGATAGCCAGTAAACCATTATACCAAGTGACAGCAGTGCCAGGCTACCTACTCGTAGGATTGGAAACGAATGTGTTATTATTTTGTACTGAAGTCTGAAATAACTGATTGTTCCCACCTGCAAACCATCACAAGAACACAAACTGTAATGCATAACAAGTGTGATTGACCAGCAGGCAGAAAGTCAAAACAACCAGCACACAGAATCTACACATTGCTGGGCAGCCCAGGTTGAACTCAAGTGGCAATGAACTGAGAGAACTGAGCTCGAAGGGAAGCAGGCATGGTGCTATACAGCACCAAGAGCCCACGACAAAAGCATTTCAACAAGTGACAAACTCCGATTATGAATGAATGACCCCTAAAGCCATCCAGGCACCCAGCAAGAAACAAGATCACTGTTTCCATTTAAAGAAATAAGCCAGAAAAGCCAGCAGCATCAACAGTGATATGTAGCCTGGCAAACACAGGGACTACCATACTGAAAAGACAAAACGGGGTCAGACACCCTTGTTCCACATGCCTCTCTCAAAATCAAGTCTGCCTGCACAAACAAGGTATATATTGCAAAGGCAATACTGCAAAAGCAATTCCCACCTCCTTTCTATGTTTCAGGGGATAGAAGACATTTGCAGGCCTATATGCTGTCACAGGCTTACTGCACACATCCAGTGGCTGCACTGCAAATCCTTCATAACGTGGCTATCAGGGCGTGCAGTACGCAACTCAGTGCTCCCAAAACACCTATGGCTCATGAAATGAAATTAAGAAAGGAAAATCATAACATGAGCATCAAGAGGGACTTCCTAACTGTAACACAGCGTCACGAGACCTTTCAGAAGGTAAGTACCACCACTGGGGCATTTCCAACTGGAATGGGCCAAACCCAGTATATGAAGACCCTAAATATAGATCCTTGTGCTGATTCCATGGTGTTAACTTGAGCTAAGCTCCAAGTCCTGTGACCTGACTGTGAGGAACACTGCAGAGAGAGCCCAGCTCAGAGTGAGAGCAGGGCAAGGCAGCTCTTCCCCTGTCATGATGCTATGCCTCCCCTCAAGCTTTTTCTGTCTCCCCTTGTTAGGAGTAGAGCAAAGTTGGCATCTCCTCACTTTAAGAAAGGCATAAAACACACTAATAGAATTAGGCCTAAACCTCAGCAAGCCTGTTATCCAGCCTTACCTTCCGTGCCTGTTCTAGCACTTTGCAGGCATCAAGAACAAAGGTCAAAGTCCTAATTTTCGGCATCTCACTGATGGAAGAAACCCTGTTCCTCAGAGTCACGGCAAATTCCTGCAATAACCACAGGAGGAAAAAAAAAGTCCACGTCAAGCTCCACAAGATCAAAAAAATAGCACCTTCCACACAGATAATTGCTAAGCATCCTGAAGTGCCATCCCAGAAGAAGCAGGCAGCAGGAGAGCATTTACTGCATCCAACTATGACATCTCTACTGTGCCATCACTTCAACCTTTTACAGTGTCTCAGCTCTAGACAGAGTTCAGCCTTCAGTCCTTCAGTTGCCATTGCTTCCAAGTACTGCATCAGTTTGAGCACATGAACACCACAAGTTCATTTTCCACAAGAGACTTGGTAGAAGCAAGCAGGCCAAGAACTACCCATTACATCACAGCATCCCCACCTGGATCCAAAGCCAGCTTCTTAGCTTCAGGTGAAACACATTGAGACACAAGAGAAACTGTCTTGCTCACCAGGGCTAAGGCAACAGAGTCAGCATCTCCAAAGGAAGGAGGAGGCCTTACCCTTGCATGATGATGAAAGGTGCATCTCTCATTGTAATCCTGAAAACGCTTCTCCTGCCAAGCTGCTTTACTCACCTGAAAGGAAAGATAGAAGTAACCTGTAGCAATTTTCCTCAAATACCAGGGTTGCCTGGAAATGGCTATACAGACTTTGACAATACTATCAATATTACTGGCAAGTGCACAAAGTCCAGAGTAAAGGGCACAAGTCGAGATCCTCACCTTCTCTCTGAGAGGCCAGCATGAACCACTGGGATATAGCAAATCACTCACCATAGCAGAGCAGTTGTAATAATCCTTATGAATTGGCCTCCAGGGCTTGAGGCAACGCCAACAGAAGCCATGATTACACTTTGCACACGTCATACTGCATGGGGAAGAACAATGGGAATTATTCAGTCCTAACAGCCACTTGCAGACAGTTCCTCCCAGCGTTCCCCTACATCACAGGGCTGGAGTGCGCGACCCAGTCACTCCCGTTCACTCAGTACTATGCATTTCTCTGCATGTATTTTTTAAAGCCTTTGCTGGAAGCACATGATGCTTAAAACCAGTCATTGTGTCTCCAAAAATGAGCTGGATAAACTGGCAGCATGATCTCACAGTACCAACTTACTAAGTACTTAAAGGGTGAACTAAGCATTCCACAGTTTGAAGCAAGATCCACATGTGCACCTCACCTCTTCCCTCAGTAATGCAGCACTCCACAGTGCAGAAAGGCACTGCGCAGCCCTAGGGCTACACACAACATGTGGGGACACATCACAGCTGGGCACCAAGGGCTGTGCCAGTGCAAGAAAGAAACAAATGGCGACTCCTAAGCCCCGGCTTCAAAGCTGGAGGTAACTCCCCTATCATGTAAAAAGCTGCCAGAAAGCCCATTCAAAAGAGGCAGTTAAAAGAAAATTGCTTGAAGTTACAGGAATAGGTGAGCATGAAAGAAAAAATGGTGCTGAGACATCCACTCCCCCAACCCAACCTGTACCTCTGTATGTCTATAGCAGATTCTGAGAGCAGACAAGCGCTATAAAAAAGTACTGCAAAATAAGTTGTGGTTCTGCTACAGAGCTATCAATGGATTTAACTCTGAATGCTGGGGAACATTTTGCTTTTCCTAGGAATCACTCATTCCTCTAAAACTATAAAACGGACCTGCGGTAACTCTTACTCCACAGCCAAAAAAAAAAAAAAAAAAGCACAATGCACCTAACTGTATGTCTTTGCCCCCTCCTGTCTCCAGTAGCAAACAAAATGAATACTCACTGCAGGCACCCCTCATTTTTCTCTATCTGAGCCTGGCAGCTTGGGCAGTGCTTTGAAATGAGCTTAGCCAGATGTTTGCTTTGGGCTTCACTTGTCATTCCCTCATAGTACCCATCGTCATCCACCCACTGAGACATGTGGCTGCAGCTGGCAGGATAATGGGCCTGAAAGAGAGAGCCAGTCAACCACACAAAAGCAGAATGGTGTGAGCCAAACCCAAGACAGTATTGCCCGTGATTCAGCTCAGCCTCACCTCTGGGAAGTTGCAGTTGAAGCAGGATATCCAGGAGCACTTCGAACAGGCTGCCCCATAACCAAATCCATCCTTAAGGAGGATCTGATCACAGCCCTGAGGGTTGGTGCACCATGTCAGGTTGGAGCAACACTCAACATAGCCTCTGAGGAGGGCTTTTTCATACTGAAACAAGAAGCCAGGAAGGAGATTTAAGGCAGAGAAGCTGCATGGTTGGGCCTTACAACTGGGGTCTGGTGCCTCTGGGCTCTACATCTGACTGAACAACTGCTCACAACAAAAGAGCACTAAGTTAGTTTACTCTTTCATTCCCTTTGTGTAAATTCCCCACCCCTCATGTCATATCTGGAGGCTGTTTCATACTACCACAGAATAGCTGAGGTTGGAAAGCACTTCTGGAGATAAAAACTAGTTCAATCCCTCCAGCTCAAAGGAGGGTTGCTCAGGACCATGTCTAGTTGGGTTTTGAGCATACCCACGGATAGAGACTACAAGCCTCTCTGCCCAACCTGTTTCAATATCCCATTATCCTTACTGTTAAAAAAAAAAAGTTTTCCAATGTTTAAATAGAATTCCTTGTATTTAAGTTAGTGCCCACTGCCTCTTATCCTTTCACTGGATATCACCGAGAAGAATCTGGCTCCTTAATCCCATTTGTGTATTTACACATGTTGATAAGATCCAACCCCGAGTCTTCTCTTCTCCAGGCTAAACAAACCCAGCTCTCTCAGCTTCTCCTAGAGGGGCCCCAAAACCTGAATCATCTTTGTGGCCTTTTGCTGGATTCTGCCCAGTATGTCCATGTCTTTCTTGTACTGGTGAGCTCAAAAATGGACATAGTACTCCAGATGTGGTCTCACCAGCACTGTGCGGTCACCTTCCTCAGCCTGCTGTCAATACTCTTCCTAATTCAACCTAAGATGCTAGTGGACCTTCTTAGCCACAAGGGCACACTTTTTGTCCACCATGATACCTTTTTTTTTTCTGCAGGGCTGCTTTCCAGATGGTTAGCCCCCAGCACATACTGTTGCATTAGGTTATTCCACCCCAGGAGCAGAACTTGTCATTTCCCTTTGTTGAACTTAATGATATTCTTGTTGGCTAAATTCTCTAGTCTGTTGAAGTCCCTCTGAATGGCAGCACAACCATCTGGAGCGCCAACCAGTCCTCCCAGCTGTTTATCATCTATAAATTTGCTGTGGATGCACTCGGTCCCATCATCCAGGTCATCAATGAAGATGTTAAACAATGTTAACCTCAGTATCAACCTCTGGATTACACCACTAGTGACTGGCCTCCAGCTGAGCTTTCTGCCATTGATCATAACCCTTTGAGCTCAGCAGGCCATCTCACTGTCTGCTCATCCAGCTTGTACTTCATCAGTTTTTTTCTATGAGGATGTTGGTATAGAAAGCCTTACTAAAGCTGAGATAAACAACATCTCCCCCCATCCACCAAGCCAATCATCTCACCATAAAAAGCTATCAGGTGCTCTTTTTAACTTTTTCTGATTTTAAGTTCCTCAGCAGACTTTTGCTTAGTTACATGATGTGCAAAGGGGAAGGAGACTCACTTTGCCCATAGCCCCTAGACATTACTGTAGAGGACAAGGCAAATTGGTTATCAATAAAGGACTGTTCAGGTAGGGACCCAGGGATGCAACTATACTGCACACAGTAGCTTAGTTTTCTATGCTCGTTTACTATAGTGTAAGGACTGTGCAAACATACACAAAACTTCTGAGGAAGTTCAGAAGAAATCCTGTAGTCTTCACAGCCCTCCTGCAGACATTTTTGCATACTTAGAGAGCTGCTCTAAAGCCACCAGGCACAGAAAGGACAATAAAGGTCACAACAAGCACTAGAGAGAAAAGGTGCAAGCCCTGAGCACCGAAGGGCTCAGACAGGGCTCTCATTCATTTCTCTCTCTCATTTATTCTCTCTTGTTCATTCGCTCTCTCAGGCAACCTAAACCAGAGAGTGTGTGCTGACTGGCTGCAAGGATGTCAGTCTGTGTCATGGCAAAATGCCCGGTGGAGGTAAAGTCTCAACAAAGCCACTTCATTCTTCTCAAAGACAGTCAACATCTGTGTCTGCTGTCATCCTGCTGATAAGTGATGTGACCATTTCTGCCCAGACACCAGTACCGGAGAGATAAACGGGTACTTGTGTCAGCAGACACCACCAAATCACAGCCTTCACAGAGGCTGAATTTCACAACGTCTGATGTATGGAGTTTTGCTGTATCCTGTTTTCTTGGTGAGGAGGAGACAGAGATGCAACTGCTGAAGCGGATCTAGGATTCCTACTGGAACCATAAGAGAAAGAGCTGCTCTTGGGAAGCCTAAAAGGAGAGGGAACAACTGTTCAATGAAGGTCTGGGAAGAAAACTAGCCAGCTGCAATCAAGAAGTTGCCAAGTACTGCATGACACTGACCAACAGATCTTAGAGGAACCTTTGCATACTCTGGAGTTAATCCAGATATGGAGCCTATGGCATGATTCCCAGCAAAGAATCCCTAAGGGCAGAATGGAAGACCACCTCTGAAGAACAGACTCTCAAGGAACTTGAGGGAAATAAGGTTGAGAGAAAACCTCTTTCAGAAACATGACAGGGTTTATGTTTTGTAGAAATACAAGCATGAAAAATTTAAACTCAAATATTCTTGTATTAGCAAGAGTGCAGCCAGCAGGCAAGGGAAGGGATTTCTCACAGCTATTTGGCAATGGTGACACAATTGGATACTGGGAACAGCTTGGGCTCCCAAGTACAAGAAAGACATTAACAGACTATGTCGAGAAAATGTCGTCCATAGGCTACCAAGACAGTCAGGGGCTGGAGCACAGAATGTATGAGGGGAGGTTGAGAGAGCTGGGTTTGTTCAGCATGGGGAGAAGGCAGCAGAGGGGGATCTTACCACTGCCTAGAGCTACCTAAATGTAAGATGCAGAGAAGATTGAACTTGGAGCAGTATGTTTTAACTTCAGTGTTAGATCTTCACACAATAATCTGCCCATTTTGAGCACAGGGTTGGACCACAGATCTCCACAGATTATTGCAACCTACATTATTCTATGACTGTACTCTGCACGAGGCATTAACACTACAGCTGTACCACTTACTGAGCAAAAAGGGAAACAGATAACACTTCAGTGAGAGCATCAGAGCAACTTGGTACAATTGGCTGCAATTTATGTTGATCTGCAATAATTTTTTTTTTTTTAATAAAATAGCCATAGCAACAGGATATTAAATCCTGCTCTCAGACAGAAGTGACTAGAGGATTTGCAAAGCCAGTAAGAACTAACTGCCCAGATACATGCATTAATTCTCTAAACACTTCTTACAGAAAACAAGACACAAAAGATACATCAAAGGAAATGCCCATTTTGTAGCCTTGCCCATTTTGGTTGCCAGTTTGCAAGCTTAAAGAAAAATTATAAGATAGAGCAGTCTTTATGACTAATGTTCATTTCTCCTTATGACTGTTCACACAGGATCATAATGACAGCAATGAACTGGAAGAGGAGGAGAGTATTTTTGGAGAAGCAATTGCTGGTGGAGACCTGTCAAACAACAGAGCAGTGGAAAACAGATGAGACACCTGTTCTGTCCAGTAATGAACAAAAAGAGTCTGTCATGCGACAGCCACAGCTCTGCCATTAGGTGGGGAGGACATTCAGCTCCAAGTAATAACTAAAAACTGAAAGAATAGGGAGAAAAAGCAGCTTCTGCATCAGAACAAGCAGCTCCTGTTGCCCCCTGCTGAAGGAGGACTAAGGTGAGCAGAACTCAGGAAGCCTGGTTTAGAGATGTCTGTAGACCCACACAGACTTAATTAGAGTGAAGATTAAGTCTGATGTGGTAACTTCTGTCATCTTCACAAAAACCTGAGGTGCTCAAAGCCAAAGACTGATGGAAGAGAAAGGACATTGGGGTCATTGATGCAGTGATAAAATGAAATTGCTCAAATGTTTTCTCTTCATTTGTCCTAGATTTTACAATTGCTTCCAGCACACCAGCAGAGGATGCTTGTCATGAGCTGCTACCACAGCTCTCACCTGGTCCTCAACTAAGAATGCACCTGAAATGTTGTTTGCTGGGAGACATGTTTAGAGGAAATACCACTGTGCTCTTTTGCTGATGTTATGCTTTCCTGAATAGCTGGTATTGACCATGATCAGAGACCACAGACACCACTGGGAAGAAATCTGGTCTGCCTCAATTATCACACTGCCCGTCTTAGTAATGGGAAGGGGAAAAGCAGCAGCAAGATTATCTGCTAGTGCTGACCAAAATGAAACAGAGCTTGGACACCCAGTCTACTTGACCTTGGCTATAATCTCCTCGGAGGAAATGATGGAACAAATGAAGGCTGTAGTTGGCTGTGCACGGCACTCAGATATGGGACAGGTGCAGTTGACAACCATGTTCTGTTCAATGCGAGTTGTGAGATACTCACTCCAACAGGGCTGTGAAGGCAGAAGAGGAGAGATCAGAGCTAAACAGGAGCTGCACCACCTGGGTCATGTGATCCTGGAAGCCCGCCCCACCCAGCAGAGGGTGCACAAAACCACCACAAACCATGGATTCAAAAGCACAAAAGTGGGAACAGACTAATCAGGAGCTGAAGAATGAGTTCTGTGAAAAGTACCTGATAACAGCTGCAGACAAAGCCAACCAACTGCCACCAACTAGGCAGCAGCAATTCCCTACCAAGTTACAGAAACCAAAGACCCCAGGTCCTTCACCTTGCAGCAGTAGTGCATGCAGCAGAGGGTTGGTGGCTTCTCAGTGGGACACAGCTGGTTCACACAGACTGGGCAGTGGGTTCCTGGGCTCGGGGGGGGCTGGGCATCCTGCACTTGCAGCCCCGAGGAGATAAGCAGGGTCTCACGGTTCTCCACATAGCACTGGATCAGGAAATCCACATTCCACCTGCAGTGCATGAGGAGGTGCCGAGCAACATCATCTGGGATGCTCAGAGTATCCTGGACCTGCTGTACCGTCTGGTTCATGAGCAGCTTCGCCTCCTCTGGACTAAGCGTGTGCCCCATTGGCACCTGCAGCATTGCCATGAGAAACTCCTCTGACCTGCCTATGCCAGGATTCCACCTGACATGGAAAAATGTGTCATGTCCGTAACAGGGTGGAGATGCACACCCCTCCACACCTGGTGACATGCATCCCTACCAATACAGGCAGTCTATGCTGTCCTCATCCGGAGATGCCTCTGGTGGCCTGCTCTGGAAAACCATCTGTGCCTGGCCCCCAAGGGGTGTTGTGGGCTCAGCAGAGATGTATTCCAAGACATGAGGCCTCTCCTCCTG